ATTAAATAGGTAATGATTAGTTTCTTCTTCTTTTACATATTCAGACATCTTTCTGGTTGCGGGGAGTCAGTCCTCTGAAGCAAGAGTCTCCTCCAGACTCCAGGAGAATGTCGTGGAGCACGGGCAAAACGCACAAGCATATATATAGATTTCGATTCCGCATGCGCATGCGGTCTGTCAACATGTCAGGACAAGACGGCCCCAAAACAACCGAAGACATTATGACATAGTAACTTGGGAATAATATCGCATGGCAAGGGGTTATTGTAGCATAACCGCAGGCTCATTCAGGGGGGATATTATGATGGTTTTTAATATTTTCCAAGATCAGCATCTGTTTTTGTTTGAGTTCGCGTTTCAGTTTCTGACATGAGACATATGAGACATGTTCACCCGACGATGACGAGAATGAACTACAATGCTGCCGCTGCTGTTGCTGGTGGTGGTGGTGGTGGTGTGGTGGTCACGATGATGATAGCTACTGAGGGGTGATACATCGCGCTCCACATGGGCAACCTGTGTTCTATTGTTAATATTGAAGAGTAAGTTAATAGTTAACTAATTATCATAACCCGCATACGAATCCTTCCCGCTCGACTTCAAATCCAAAGCACAATGCATGCCAATGGGCGCGAAAGAGCTCAACAATGACTTGTTTGTCTGTCTCAAGCCTACTCTAATACTTTTCCCATCGTGATGACGAAATTGGAGGGGCCCGATTCAAAACCTTAATGTTGAGGCCCAAAAAAAAAAAAAAAAAAAAAAAAAAAAAAAAAAAAGCAGAATGATAACAAGAAATGTGAAATGTTTGCTTCATGGGCGGTTCTTCTAGATCTCCAATGAAATGGAATAACTCGCCAGGTTTTTCTTGCCTCTTTGCTCTGTTGCCCCCACTGCTAAAAACCACACAGAAGGTTATAACTGCGCAAGGCGACCTGAATATCGAATATCAGGAATAATGACGGAGGCTGCGGCACTTGGACTTTCAGTCAGAGCTTGCGGGCCTTTTCTGGCTGTAATTGGCTGCTACCCTACAGTAACTAAGTTAGCTTCGAAACTAGTTAAGCATTTCTTTTAGTGGGAATAATTGGAAGCCCGCCCCCAGATGGCAACCCAGCAAGCCGTCCTCACTACTTCACTGCTCAGCAAGGACATGTTTTGCTGCATGTGGGCCGTCTTGCCCGAGGCGATACGAGGGAAGCATTCAAATGTTAGAGATGTCTCTGTTTGAGATGACACTTTTTTTTTTGCCTGCACAAAATTCCAGAGAAAACTTAATTATCAAAGGGCTTCACATAAACTTTAGAATGGCTGAAACGGCTTCAACGGTTTATTTCTCTATTTCTCTATTTCTCTATTTCTCTATTTCTCTATTTCTCTATTTCTCTATTTCCTATTTCTCTATTTCTCTATTTCTCTACTTCTATATTTCTGTATTTCTCTACTTCTCTATTTCTGTATTTTCTCCCCTGACTCCCTGCCAGACAAGACATGTATGTCATGTGAAGAAACACGACAATTGGAACCCGAGAAAAGAAAGGCGGTGGTTACTTCATGTGCAGGTACTGGGTACATCTTTCCTCCTAGCTGGTCTCCTACTAGCCACCACTGGGGAGGAGGAGGATTTTGCTCCAAATTGCAGCACCCTGCCTGGCCCCTGCCTGGCCCCTGCCTGGCCTTGATTGGCCCCACCTGCAGCCCGTGACCATCCCCAACCTGGGCCAACTGGGCCAACTGGGCGAAAATCTGGGCTAAACCTCGGGGCCACTTACAAGTTACGGCGTACGCAGTAGTACGCTGTAGCATGGAAGTACGCACAGTAGTAACTATCAGTTAACTACTGTAGGCGAAGCAGCTCTTGCCCCGCCGAGCCAACTCCAGACAAACGCCAACTCGCCGCCATGGGAAAGATTCGTGATTCCTCTTGCCTGACTCGGGTAGCCGGCGGGGAAGTTCGCGTATAGCTAAGATTGTTGCGGTTTGAGGAAATTCTGTCTGTACAGAGTACGGAGTATATGTACAGAGTATATGTATATGTACATACATGTACATGTACCAGGTACTTGCACTGATGGTACTGGTATCCCCCCCCCCTGCAACCAGAGCTGGCTATCCCGGGTCAATCATAGCCTCACAGGCTGAACATGGCCAGTAACTTCGTTACTCGTGAGAGAGCAGTGAGATGAAGGCCTCCCTATTTCTAGAGATTATCTGCGGCGTATTGTTCCGAGAACAGCAAGCCTCCTGAACTACCCAGACTAGACTGGTAATCCCCGTTGTCTTTTTTCATACACAGCCAGAAATGTGTTGAAAACTCTCTCCCCATCATATGGTTGCCTCCTTTAGATATGTAGAAACCTCACGAGCGCAACTTTGCAAGCAACGTCATGGCATGACACGATTATATCCAAACCGAACAATTCCATCTTCTTGCTCCCTCCCTCCGTCGGCTACCCGCTAGTGTTGTCATGTCTTCCCTCCCCGCATCCACTAGCTAGCATACTAGCTAGCATACTTGGTTAGCCAAGAGCCAAAGTAGCACATCGCTGATTCGCATCGCGTCAGGGTCAGTTCTAGTGCCGTTGAAATCAACCGCGGTGATATTGCATGAATGCTCATCCTTTTTTTTTTTTTTTTCTTTTTTTTTTGGTCTCTCCTCTATTGCCTCCCAGAAAGCATGGTATTAAATAGTTTCGGCGGTCTCAATCTTCTTCCCCTAACCAGCAAAAAAAAAAGAAAAAAAAACGATTG